CCAACCCTAGTGCTAAAGTGCTGTCTAGTGTTCCTAAATGCAAGAAGGTTGTGATGTACCTTATGGAGAAAATACACGTGTTAGAAAAGCTTCCTTCAGGCATGGGTTATATTCAGGCTGTGAATTCCATGTTAACATATCAACAACATACATTAAATTAGGTGTCTTTGAACAGAAACACACATAAAACAAGCTTATGTATTGATCAGTTGATGGAAATGTGGCCAGGGGCTCACAGGAACCTAACCCTTGATTTCCCCTAAGAGCAATGGATCAGTATTTATTAATTCAGTATTCTTGTTGACTTTATAGGGCATTACTGCAAATAGTGAGAATTGCCTGTAAGTTGTTTATGTAGCAATAGATAACAAATACAGTGGGAAAACAGGGTAATTCAGCTCATACATCTAAGAGGAAAGAATTCCACAAGGACAGCATGATCAGCTGTCAAGCACTGTAGGTCCCCTGCTAGGGAAAAGGCTAGAAAAATAATAGATAGCAGTGATTGGTGTGTCCCACCTGAGTATCATCAAAATGGTTGTATATTGAAAAGAAGTAATTTTGCCTGGTTAAAGAGAGTTACGTTGCATGAATGTGGATGAAACTCTCTAGGAAAATTAGCCTCATCTGGCAGTGTCCTTGCTGTGTAAGGATTGATGTGTCCAAAAGCACCGGCTTAATTAAAAGCTCCTTGACCGTGCAGGGTGACGCAGTCAGGGTGGGCTCCTGGTGAGCTGCCATGCATTGCCCCAGCCAGCCGGGGAAACCATACAAGGACAAGAGGGGCCACAGCACCTCAGCTCAGCCTTGTCTGTGACCGACAGTCCTGGCTTCAAAGGCTTAAGTTGTCTTCATTTTATTTATTTTTAACTTCAGCCCATAAAAGGCCCCTTTTGATTTCGATTTTTAATTAGGCTCCCAACTTTATCTCTGCTCCCACACTCTAATGAGAGGTTTAAGTCCTTAAATATGCATGGATTTGGTATAATAGGTAGCTTTGTTTTGTGAGGGTGTATGTTTAGAAGTTACGTACATGGCACTCTGCTATAAATAGCGAGTTTGTCCTCACTTTTCCACTCTACCCTATGATTTAAGTGTTGCCCTCTGCATGTGTAGTTTGTTGTAGGTTGTTCCTTCTCACAGCTGTGTCGTAGAGTGTGTACCCGCATTTCACCCATCCTTGCCCCTAGCGCTGGGCACCTCGCCCACCTCCAATCTCTACCACATGGCCAGGTACCGGGAGCAGATGACAGTGCACCTGGCAGTAGCTGCCTTCCATGTGCCTGCCACTGCTTCGCAGCCTTCTCTCCTCCTTCTTCCCTCCCTTGAGGAGATGATAATATCCACCAGAACTTGTTCCTAGATCATAAGAACATGCACTTCTCACTTCTGCAGAGCAACTTCTCATTTGGCTAGTCCAGCAACTTCCTAAGAGCCAGAGGTACACATTTGTTTACTAAGTTAAAAAAAAAAAAAAAAACACAGTGGTTACTCCCAACTCTGGTTTGGCCTGAAGGTTGTGAAAGTAGGACCCCCCCCCCCAAAAAAAAAGAAAACTAAAAATAAAAATAAAATCACAATTAATGCATTTTAGTTTTAAAATAAATATATGCCATGAAAAGAAAAGGGACCAAGAAAAGAGAAGCTGGCAAAAACAAGTAACCATAAAACATGAAGATGCTTCCCATGTGAGAAACTGCTTACCCAAAGAGTAAACAACACGTGAGAAAGCTTAGTGCATTGAACTCTGAGATATGAAAGGTAAAAATGAAAAGGAAATAAAGTTTGGGCACCCAGGAAAGCCAAAATGTATACAGTCCTCCAGGACCAAGTGCCAAGAAAGACTGAGGTCCAGATGAAATTGCTGAAGAGTGAAGCCAGAAGATTCTTGCTGACTCAAACAGAGAAAGCCGTAACACGTGGAATCTATTTTTATTTCTGAATTACAGAGAGGCTATACAGATATATTGTGTTGTTACATATTTTTATATTATTAATTCACACTACTTAGGGAGAATTTATTCATTTACCAAAACAAAGTCTAATAGGTACTTTATTCTGAGCAATCCCATACATAGTAGAAAAACCTTTAAATATATAAAAGATTAATTTGTGCACACCTAAATGTTTCTAAGGGAGCAAACTACTGAGGCATGTGGTAAGAGAAGAGTTGCAAACATAGTACCACAACTGAATACTTAAAAGAGCATCTTAATAACAAAGGCTGGGAGTAGTGACTTCCTGACACATCTCAGAGGATGTCTCTTAGAGGATAACCCCATAAAACTCTGTATGGCTTCAACAGGAACTTCAGAGTTTTCTTCCATACCCAGCCATTGCCTGCAAACAAACTTCTCGCTCCTTGACAGATTTTTGTTTTTTGTCTCAATCAAGGAGCTACACAAAGAGCAACTGCCACTTTGAGAAAACAATGCTTTTGCCCTCATGATCCCTTGGTTCCCTTAAGTACAAATCTACAGGCAAAGTGCAAAACACTTCCCAGAAATCAGAACCAAAGCAAGAATGCTCAGAATGCGAGAGCTAGATAGCTGCATGATGTGAATGTTTACTTCTGTCTACCTACCTGCTTAGGGATTTTTTCAGGATTTGTCTAAGGTTCTATTTACTTGAATTGAATTTCCATGGTAGCTATTCTCTAGCATATGCAATTAAATTAATTTGTCTTTTTAAGATAAGAAAATAGCAGATGCTTAAATATCAATGGTTATGCAGCCCATACAACAGCCCATACAAAAATCATTGACTGGGAAAGATGCTCCTAATTTTCACGTAGGAAGATGAAGCTTAAACAGCATGCCACCTGAGTGGTCTTTGTAAATAGGTTGGACAAGTTCAAAGAAAATGTGAATGGTCACAATGTTGCCGTGTCTGCTTGGCTGTAATAAGAGCAGTCTGTCAAGGGCTCTGTGTCCTCAGGTTTGCACCACTAAACTGAACACTCGATTCTTCATTACTTCCCGTGGCTAGGGTGACCATGTCACTCATTTTTTAAAATGGGACACTACTGAGCGCAAGTAGTAAACAGGTGAACAAAACAGAATATCGGGCTGTGTTTCATGTATTTATGTCAATACCACGTTCTGGGAGAGGCACAACTGGGGCTTCCAAAGGTGAAGGTGGACTGTGACAGAGGGTGGGCTCTAGGATTTTTCTATGAGATGAGCCAGATGTCATGAGGGAAGAGACCCAAAAGAACAGACAGTCCAACAAGACACTAACTTGAAAGGACCGAGAGGGGAAAAACGTGCAATGGAGGCTTCTGGAGGAAGGACAGCTGGCGTGTGTGTGTGTGTGTGTATGCATGCATGTGCACACATGTGCAAGGAGGGAGGGACAGACATGACACAAATGAGGGCAGAGAAAGTCATCTATGCGGCTCAAGGCTCGTTCTACCCAGGACTCAGAGTGTCCCCCCTGGACAGCTCTCCCCGGTGAAGTCATCACCATGATACTATGGTGAAACCCCTCTTTCCATTGCATCTTTACTTCTGCCAGCTTTTTGTAATAGGTGGCCCTGGAGACTAAGAATGGTTTCCAGAGTAAGGTGAGGACCTCAGCAACACCTGTAGATAGCTAAAGAGGAGCTTGCAACAAGACTTCACTTTGGGTCTTGCAGTTCCAACCCGAGCCATGTTTTTGTGGTTAGGGCTCCTCGTCTTTTTCAGCAAGCCCTGTATAAGTATTTTATTTTGTCTGTGGATGTCAAAAATTTATTTTCGACAAAAATAAATTAGTTTGCAGCCTCATTTGTCCATCCGGTTAGAGAAACTATCCAAACTCAAATGAAGGGGTGGAGCAGGGAAAACGTATTTGCTAGATACAACAGGGCTTGGCAAACTTTTTCTGTAAAGATAGTAAATGTTTTTGGCTTTGTGAGCCATATGGTCTGTTGTGAATACTCAGCTCTGCTGTTCTAGTGTGAAAGTCGCTGTAGACAGTACGAAAACAAATTTGTGTGGCTGTGTTTCGATAACGCTTTATTTGTGGGTACTAAAATTTGAATAATTTTCATGTGTCATAAAATATGGAAAAACTTTTTCAACCGAAAATGTAAAAACCATTCTTAGCTCATGGTGGTGCACTAGATTCGGTTGCAGTTTGCCAACCCCTCTGTTAGAGGCCTACAGATCTGAAATCACATTGGCATTTTAAAGGGCATAGGAAGACTATAAAGGAAATATTTTGTAAATGATAGTACATACTCGTATTTAATTTTAAACCCGTGATTAGATTAGAGTGTTTTAAAGCGGATCACTTTTTGTGATGCACTCGAGAGAGAAATCCGGATAACTAAATGTTACCAACCACTTTCTGAGTGAGCTATCTTACACTTGAGTCCCTGGCAATTAAGTGTAGCGTCTTGAACTAAGTCTATGGCCTGAAGCACAGATAGGTACCAAAAATGTGACACTGACCCTTTACTTTTGCAATGTGGAGGTCTTCTACATTCACCAAAGAAGTGATTTTTTTAAGGAACAATTTACATAAAACCTGATGCCAAATTTGATAACTAAAATAAAATTCATGTGAATTAGAAAGTCTGGCTTCCCTCTGAGAAGTTAAAGAAGGTTCACGTGAATGAGAACCAAGTGGGCACTTAGTTTACGATGGTTTTACAACTGTGTTTCGTTCATGGCTGCCCTAAGCAGGCTTTGGATTTTGAAGGTGGACTGACATGGGGATAGCTTTCCTGGGGAGAGCTGTGCCCTGGATACTTTAAACCTAAAACGATCACCAAGGAGATATGCAGCTAATCTATGGAAACAAATCCACTCACACTTAACAGTGGATTAAAATTATCTTATTGGTAACCACCAGTCTAAGGGACAAAATACCACTGCACCAAGTGTTAGCGAAATATTGAAATGGAAGGTCCTACTCTCTTGCTAAGGTTCAACTAAAATCTTTGAGGCACATAATTGGCAAAATAGGAAAACACACACAATTTCATAAAACATGTTAAGAGTAAACAAATTCTTTTCCTTTTTCTCCCCTTAGAAAATTAGGATGGCACCAGGTAGTGCAAATGGAAATAAGTGACATCAGCCCTGTCTCTTTCAGGTAGGTAAGTTTCAACAGAACCACAGAGCAGACCAGCATCCTCTTCTTCCAGCCACGGCCACCTACAGCTTCTCTTTCAGCTTCAGGTCAATACTGTGAGGAAAGAAAGAAAAAGAAAAGAAAAAAAAGAAAGAGAGAGAGAAAACCATGAGAAACCAAATGAGAAACATTTAATAATGATTTGGGTGGCATGTGTTTGCTCATTTCCTCAAGAGACTTACTGAAAATAAATCATGCAAGTTTTTTATACTAGAACAATCTGGTAAAATACAATCCTACCCCCTCGCCCCCCCTCCCTCACCAAGTTGCCAACCTTTTCTTTAATCTGTTTATTTTTACAAAATTATTTCTGGAAGCATTTTACACCTTTTCAAAATAGTCCGGGGAAGCAAAAGACTAATGTTAAGTTTCATTCCTAAAGTTGATTAAGATAAGGAACATCATTGCATTTTGGAAATAAAGGATCTATTTTTAGTAAGTGACCTTTCCTTGTGAAGCAAACAGAGGATATGCCTGAAATAAATCATGCCTGACAAGTGCTAAATGGTAAGAAGTCATAAGTGATAAAACAACAGCAAAACAACAACAAAAACAAAACAAAAAACCCCCCACAACATTTACTAGGAACCAATGGATTTGACTGAATGAAAGGGGTTAGCCTATCTTAACGAAATGAATTTTTAGGACTAAAGAAAAGCTTGTTGTTAAGAATGTCTAGTGGGTTTCCAAATACATAAGGAGTAAGTCTAAAAGCCAATGGATTTGACTGAAAGGGGTTAGCCTATCTTAACGAAATGAATTTTTAGGACTATAGAAAAGCTTGTTGTTAAGAATGTCTAGTGGGTTTCCAAATACATAAGGAGTAAGTCTAAAACTTCCTAAGTCACGTGCATCTCTCCTCTTAATGAACACAGCAGCACAACTTCTTAGCACATCCACCCAAGAAGAAAACAAAAAGCCAGTGAACAGCCAGAGAAAGAACTTCAGTCATGGAAAAAGAGAAACAATTGGACAATGTGCAAAGTGTCTGCTGATTCGCTTATATCTGCCCTCCTGAGCCCTAAGTCTGCATGCTGCAAAGTTTACTGTGCTTTACTTGTAGAACGTGCAGCAGCTGAGCAGTGTTTCTTCTAGTAGCTTTGCAAATAAAGCGACTGGTAACCCGCAGTGCCTGCTCACTTAGTTTATAATAGTAAAGTATCTTTCCTTTGAAATACCCTCAGCAATTCTACTACTTATTAGCTGTAGGGATTTTGCCAAGTCACCTACCTTCTCTAAGTTTCCATTTCTGTATCTGTTAAAATGGAACAATCACACCTCTCTCACGGCTTGCTGAGGATTAAGTCTAAAGAGTTTTCCATTGTACATAGTAAACAGATAGTAATGTCTATATTGTTATTAGTAGTAGGAGTAGCTCTGTGTTTTTTTGAAACGGGAAAACCATCTCTTTGTTTAATTACTCTACTTGCAATAATCTTGTCTCCTTTGGGAGTTTTCAGAGCCCAGACATGCTGAATGTCACAAGGAGGCAAGTCATCTTGAATGTTAATCTGTTTTTTATTCTCTTAAGAATCTGACCTGTTTTCTTACCTGCAGAGCTTTACTTTGGGGGGTGTCCTCTTTTTATCTATGATAACCCCTAGATCTTTCTCTAATATACCTTTACAAACCAGATAATTTTTCTCTTGCTTTTGCTTCTGAAAATATACTTCCCAGCTGCAGTTATTCTCTGAGGTTTGTATTAAATTTGATTTGGTGATTGGAATTTTATTCTTTCTCTCATGGTGTTGGCTCTTTTTCTCTTAAAGACCAAGAGTATACCTACTAAACCAAAATTTGAGACACATCTGAAAAGTGTGAACGTAGGTCAGAATATCTGTAATCATCTTAGGAGGTTTAAAGTACACACTCGCTTTGTTTCACTGGGCACCTGATAAACATCTGACCAACTCTCACACCAGGTGCCCCTGTCAAAACACTTTATTTTTCATACTGAAGTTTTTGTAAACCTTCTAGGGTTTAATTCATCTTTTCAGCTTTTGGTAGCCAAAAAGCTGAAAAACTGAATTTACCCAAGTTTATGGAAGAAGCAAGAGATAGTCAAAAGTGGACAATTTTCTTTGAAGTAAATACAGGAAACCACTCGCAAGATTAATTTTTTAAACAACAGTAATCTTGTGTAGTTAATGAAGCTACTGACCATGCTACTAATTTAACTCTCCCCAAATAGAACCACTCTTAATCACATACTTTTCATACAGATATAAAAATATAGGGCTGGCAGTTTAGCTCACTCCGTAGAGCATGGTGCTGATGAGACCAAGGTCAAGGGTTCGGATGCCAGCAAGAAAATAAAAAATAACAGAAAATATGAAAAGGCATATCACAAGTTTTAGGACACGAATGAATAAAAACTCAAACCTAAAAGCAAAGGAGTCAAGCACCTAGGGCTACTTTTTAAAACACTTTCTTTTTGAAAGAAAAAATACTTTTCATCAGAATTGAAAATAAAAGGTATCTTTGGCCAGAGGAGCTTAGTTTTCTATAACCAACTTTGCAGTGAGACAGAGCAACCTTTTGGTAATTTTATGCTAGGGCATGTTCACTTCTAACATGTATTAAACGAGTTTCCTTACAAAGTGTCGGATGATATTGTTTAATCAGGAATGCAAACATTTGTGTCTTATGTAGGAAGAGTAGGGGAGACAGGCAGAACCTTCCCTCCTGTCTGAGGAAGATGAGAGGCCACTACAGCATCAGCACACTTCATTTTATCCCTTGGGACAGCCTTGCCCATTTTTCAGTTCATTCATTCAATACTAGCTACAGAAGGTGTAAAATGCTTCCACACAGAACTTCTCCCTGTCCCTGATGGCCTGTAGTGGACCAGGGGTGAGAGAAAGTCAACATTCCAATACTGAAGAAAGCCAGAACCCCAGGGCCAGGAGTCAGCAAAACAAAATTCTTGGCAGCTCTTGCCCCCCTCCCGCATCTCAGTCTGTGCGCTGTGATCACGTGCCTGGAACAGGCTTAGGAAAGCGAGGGCTGAAGAAAAGGGAAGCCTCGAGAAGAATCTGTTCTTCTGGGTGAGAAGTAACGTTCACAATTTGCAGCACCCTCCCTCTCCCATGCCCAGCCCTGGAATGAGCCCAAACAAGAAGCCGTGCTCTGCCCTCTTCCCAGCCCGGACAGCTTTACACACGCACGAAGAGCGAAACAGACAAGGCAGGCAAAGGAGTGGGTAAGCCCCGAGATGTGGCCGCCAGTGGCTGGGCATCAGGACGTGCCATCCACCCAGCCGGGGAACTGCGGGCACGGTTAACTGCCCGAGGGGTGCCGCTTTACTGAGGCAGGCAATATTTGCAGAAAGAGGGATGGTGGACCGAGGTATTTGGGCTTTGCAGAATTTCCTGTGGCAATTTGCTTGAAGCAATTGTTGCCTTCATCTCAGACAGGCAGATCAAGAGTGATCTTGAGGAAATAGCTGTGTGATTTCAAAGGTCCCCTTATAGCCTTTGTTCTTTGTGCACTTCTCGGTTGGGTCTTTCTGGAGTTATGTGCCTAAACCTCCTTTAAGCCGTGAGGTCAACGTGGCAACTGCACAGATACTGCACCTCCAAGGTTGAAGAGAGCAAAAAGTGACACTAGAGACACAATGAATCTTTGCCCCTCCTTCCCAATTCCTGGGAACAAGGACAATATTAAATTTTCCACAACTCAAACCAAATTAGGAGCCCCCAGCTGGATGGATGGCCAAGTTCTCTCTTAGAGCATATTGGTGACCACAGTTTATTCCCTGAAACTGACGTGATCACTAATTAGCTAAGTCAGATGTGGTACACCCATTCAGCATTAAGACCACGTCTCTCTGATTTAACAACCATTGGCTCTGGAATTGCATTGCCAAGGGTCAAGTCCCAGCTCTGGGCCATTTGTACAGCTGTCCAATGCTGGACTGGTCAGATCATCACTCTATGCCTCTCTTCATCTGTAAAATATACCTCATAAGCTTCTTCTGATAATTAAAATCAGATACTGCATGTGAAGCTTTTTACATAGAGTCTGGCCCACAGTAAGAACTCAATACGCCTCAGATTACTGTTTCTCCAGGATGGGAACCATCCAACTAGATCATTCCTAAGGTCGTATCCAGACTCAACTGCCTCCTGGAATTTGCAAAACAAGGACATTTTCTCCCCTATCTACCAAAATATTAAGCTCAAGTGAAAGTTCCAACCTTCACTAATTAAAATAAATGATGTCATTCAGAACATGGTGTTGAATTCCTCTTGCCCAAATGTTCTCACATCTGGCCCTAATATTCATTTTCTCCTCATTTTAGGGTTGGAAAAATGCAATGCCATGTAAAAACTTAGGTTGTGCTTAAGGAATTTAAGTGGTGATTATGAATGAGATGGTGTTCAGCTGACAAATTTCTCCTTAAATTTCTAATTTGGGGAATAGAGCACATGGGAGCTGAACATCTAAACGGGGTTTACCCAATCCGCAATTGACTTTTTTCTTCTGGAGCCCAGCCACACAACATTACAATTAACCACATAGCTGCTATTGATGGCAAATTCTTACTCCTTCTCCATAGAAGACATTTCTGGATCATTGTACAGGCAGCTAGTTCTGAGTGCAAGGAAAAAAATAGGAAGCAGTCAACATTTTCTTTACCGTTACTACTTTGTAAGCGCAATAGATTTGGGGCATTTGAAATTGTTTAATGTGGTGCAATTACTAATTCTGAACAAATCTACACCTGAATAGACAATGAGATTAAGCTGTGGCTCTTTTACCAGCAGCTTTGAAATATGACAATGACCCATGATTTAGAACATAAAAGAAAAATTAAAAACTCCAAACACTTCCAGTGGTCTCCTCTGTCCTTGTCATTTTCCTCTGACTTTTCAATCTATCGTATTCAGGAAACATAATATTGCAAAATTTTATTTGTGCTCCAAATAATAAAATACTTTATAAACAAAGGAAAATCCCTCTCAAGCAGCCTAATTTTATTTACACATAAACACAGTTCACTTTCAGTTTTCACAAGAATGAGGATTTTTCAAGACAGTAGAAGAAAAAATGCCAGTGTCAGCTTTTTCTCATTGTTGTTGTTACAGAAAAGTCACAAGACACTTACCACTCCATACAGCTGAGCTGTGTTCAGGTGACACAAATCCTATCATTAACCTAAACTGAATATGTCCAGAAAGAAAAATATAACCACATAAAATAATAAAATAAAAATATTTTGATGGTGTTTATGTTTTTTGTATAATATTAGCTGTTTCTGATATTCCATATTGGTATGATTTCTTTATGAGCAAATTTCACATTTGCTTTTTATTAATTCCTGATTAATACTCGGTACACTTTGACCTTTACTTTTTTTTCTCGTCTAGTAAATAATATTTTATTATAGGCAAACAAACACGATTTAAAGCGATTCTATGATCCTTTTTAAATGCAAGAGTTCCTTTTGTAGTATGATTTCTTTATGAGCAAATTTCACATTTGCTTTATATTAATTCCTGATTAATACTCGGTACACTTTGACCTTTACTTTTTTTTCTCGTCTAGTAAATAATATTTTATTATAGGCAAACAAACACGATTTAAAGCGATTCTATGATCCTTTTTAAATGCAAGAGTTCCTTTTGTAATGTGAGTAATGTCACAAGGTAATCTTTGTGTTTGCACAGAAGTTCTGTGATTAGGTTTTTGGCTGAAAATGACAGAAGGCTGTCTCCCTGGGCAGGGCGGTGACTCTTTCCACCTCCCTGTCCACCCTTCTTGCTGGTGGTCTGGTATTTTTATGGCAACCTTAGTGAATAAGAACAGTCAAGTAAGTGTTGACATTGTGCTAGAAAAACCTAGCAAAGCTGGAAAGCAATCAAGAAAGGGCAGTCTTCCAAATGCAGCTTTTCTGCTTTTTAACTTTGAGTAATCCTTCCAAAGAAAATAGCAATTTGCAAACCATTTAAACTATTAAGATGGATTCTTCCCCATTTTCAAAATAAGAATGATTCTAGGTATACTATTTATCCTTCTAAAGTACTTTCTTTCCTGTGTAGATCAAAAGTTTAAAGAAAAGGCATGCTGAGCAAATCATCTTCTGAAAGTCAATTGGGGGGGTACAATTTGGTTGTTTTGTTGTTTTGTTTGTTTCTCAGCTGCTGGCGGTACAGGGATCCAAATCCTTGAACTTGATATGTTATGAGGCCGCGCTGGTGGGGTACAGTTTGATGGGTGGTGTGTGTGTGTATGTGAGGGGAGAGGGAGAATGTTTAAAAACACTAGTGGAATAAAGAAAAATGATACATAGGTTCTGTTCCCTGACAAAGTATATATACAGTATTTGCCTTTGGTTAGACCAATCCTCAAGCTTTCTAATAAAGTCACGTGGAAAGTTAGAATACATCTGTCAACAGAATGAACCTGGGTGTATCAGGCTTCTAACCATAGATCTGCAGTGATCATGGTTTCTGAATCAAAAATCATCACATACAGTCTGCCCTAGGATTTAGGGACCACTTCAGAGACTGAAAGATAGCTGAGAAGATGTTGTTGGTATGCTGACATGGTAGGATTCTAAGGCATTTTGATCATCTTTGGAGTCAACAGAGTAGAATTCTTTCTCCTTACACATTTTCAATGTGTAAATACATTTCAATTCCTCTTACATGTGATGTCACCATTAAAAGAAATAGGATCAGTTGGGGGAGGATTCTTCAAGCCAATGGCTTACTCACAGAATCCAAAGCAAGGTGTTAGACTCCTGCGGTAAATCTCATCATTTTTATGCGGCCCTTTATTTAAGGCAGTGGCTACCAAAGCACTGCCCTAGAGACAGGCAGCATCAGCAACACTGGGAACTCGTTAGAAATGCAGATTTCAGGCCCCACCCTAACTTGCTGAATCAGAAACTTGGAGTGAGGCCTAGGGTATTGTGTTTTAACAAGCACTCCAGAACACTGGGAACTCGTTAGAAATGCAGATTTCAGGCCCCACCCTGACTTGCTGAATCAGAAACTTGGAGTGAGGCCTAGGGTATTGTGTTTTAACAAGCACTCCAGATAATTCATAGGCAAAATAAAATTTGAGACCCACTGCTCAATAGCCGTGAACTTGCTCTTATGCACATTCATTAATTTATGCAGCATAAATTTGCTGAGCATCTACTGTGTACTACGCACAAACATAGTGCTTCCTTTAGGAGAGAAGTCAAGACTTTTTAGGACCAGCTGAACTATCTAGATACCTGGGGGGAGGCTTTGTGTGGTTAGGAAAGATAAGAAAAATGATGTGAGAGAAAAAAAGAGAAAGCTACACAACTAAACCAAAAACAATAACTGTTTTACTAAGGTAGCTAAGCAGGAAAAGTATAAATATGGAAGGAAAAAATATTTATTGGAAGAAAGATTTCATGGTAATAATGAAAAAAACATGACAATGTGACTTTAGGAGGGGTTTGGCTGGAGAATTATTGATGCTCCCTCCCTCCATCTTTTGTCTTGAAAATAGTGCTTTCATTCCACAAATATGTTACCATTAAAAAAAAAAAAAATCTGAAAGAGAAACTCATTGAGGTTTTCTCTCTGGGGAATCTGACAAAGCGATGACAAAGCAATTCGAGTGCAGACACATGCTAACAGGGTACATCACACCGACATTCAGTTCCTTGGTTCCTAATAGCTTCCTTATTTCCACAACTTTTTATTTGTAACAGCTGAGTTAGAAACTAAGAAGATTCTGTTAGAATAAAATATTAGAGGGCTGGTCTGTTAGCTCACTTGGTTAGAGCATTGTGCTGATGACACCAAAGTCAAGAGTTCAGATCCCTGCACAGTCCAAGCGCCAGAAAAATAAAAAAATCAAAAATTTACGTAATTTTGAGTTTTGCTAGTCTAAACGGGTGTCAGTTATCTTGAAAGAAAATTAGAGAATAAGAATATTGCAACAGTAGGGCTGGCCGGTGAGCTCACTTGGGAGAACATGGTGCTGGTAACACCAAGGTCATGGGTCCAGGTCCCTGTACTGGCCAGCTGCCGAGAAAAAAATAAAATAAAATAAGAGTATGGTAACAGTAAACTACACTAATGCTAAATTTTCTAAAGCAAAAATCTTTAATTTTTAACACAAATGATCCACACTATAGGCAAATAATTTTGTAGGTTACTTACAATAAATATACACCACAAAAAAATCTAAATGGATTACTTTGATGAAGAATTGGCGTTTACAACTATGTAGAAAAAGCTCTCTAATAAGATCTTATTTATTCGGAATTTGTAGCTTTTTGGACATTGCCCAGGCTTTCTGCTTTTTGCAATTAAAGTAAGAGCTGGTTATAAAAATTAGCAGCGCAAACAACATTTGAAACGGGGAAGAAGCTTAATGTACTTAATATGGCAAACATTCCAAACAGTACTTGTCTACATTTAACATGTAGTGTCAGAAAACTTCTTTGTAACTTGGAAACAAGAAAAGTAAATGACTGGATATTCTTTCAGGGAAGTGCTGAGCTGACTTTCTATAGGCTGGGCTATTTTAGAACTCTGAAGGGGCAGAGGTTACCTTGTAGACTTTTGTCCAGCAGAGATGCAAATAATTTCTGTCACGTAGAAAAGATAACCCTAATGTTACAGTTTATTGCCCTGTTGGACATTAACCAGTTTTGTATCTAACCAAACAATCTTATTCAAACATTCTTTTATAAATTACCTAGAGGTATCTAGCTTCTCAAATGCTCTTTGAACTGTCATTTTGAAATAACATCTTACTGGTTCCCTCATTAAATAAATAAAATCATTGGCATGTGTCATTTTATATTTGCATGAGAGTTATTATTTTGCCTTTTTGAAAATCATACTTTAACAATAGTGAGTAATGACTTTTTTCTATTCATCAAAATAACTCAGAGGCTGTTAGCTGAGCAATATTTCCAAGTCACCTAATAAGGTGGTGTTGTCATTGCTGTTTTAAATCTTGGAGAGCTATGAAAATGACTTTACAAAAATCTTCCAGATTTTGACTTGCTATCATATCTCCCAATTAATATGAATTAGTGAGTTGTCATTGCTGTTTTAAATCTTGGAGAGCTATGAAAATGATTTTACAAAAATCTTCCAGATTTTGACTTGCTATCATATCTCCCAATTAATATGAATTAGTGAGGTTCTGCTGCTTAGATGTATCTAATGATCATCTGTATGTGACACTATGTGTCGTGGCACCTGTAGTGCCTAGAATTGCATGTGCATTTTGTTGTGGTGCCTAGAATTGCATGTGCATTGAAAAAAAATTAAATGACAAGGACAAATATATTTTTCAAGATAATCAAGATCATGGGGAAAAATAGATTGTAGTAAGAATAACAGAGATTGCACTTATCATGAGAGAAAGTGAATTTTTAAGTGCAGCATTATTAACAGGATGCAATAATAAAACACCAGGCATGCAGATTCTCCCAGTTCACTCCTGAAATGCAAGCCAACATCATGCCAGCTGCTACATGAAAACCAAGTCTTACTTAGCTGCTTCTGATGCTTCCCTCAGTTCTTCATCCAGTCTGCACGAGCAAAAATTATCGATGTAGAAAAGAAACGAAAAAGAAGCAAGCAGAGCATAAGAGAGTCAGGCAGCAAAGCAGAGCCAAACGTAAGTGGTGTGCATATGCTTTTAAATACTGTCTTCTGGAGCGCTGAGGCGAGGCACACTTGTTTAATTAAATGTGGTGTCATTTCCTCCCGTTTAATGTTTACGTACTTTTACTTTGGAAATTCCTTCATAAAGGGAGATACAAAAGTTGCAAGGGGATCAGAAACATGCTGGCTGAATAAAGCTGAAAACATCCACATTGGTCTGTTGGGTATAAAGATAGCCTGCAGCCTGGGCCAAGTCAGGGACGCGTCTTGTTTAGTGGGTTTCAGTTGCAAATTAGGTTGACCTCAACAGCTTTACACACAAGACAAAGACCAGAAATGGTATACAAGGGACTGATACAAGGACCTCTTGCTCTGGTAGCATGTTGAGGTCACCCGTGAGTGAGACACTGGTGTACACACACAGAGGGTCCAGCGTGAACTGTAGATCAGGTTTTACCTTACGCTTCTCTTATAAGATCTCTCTTCATCGTACCTTACGAGATAAAAAACGAATGCCGTGAGGAAAACGAACGAACAGATGGAAAAAATGACAGGTAAATGTTTTAAACGACGGACAAAACACGATTTTATGTGTGTTAGATAAACTTCGTTCAGGCACAAGTTATAGTGCTGTTGGCCATGAGTTCAATGTGAACAAATCAACAGTCTAGGCTAAATAAGGTGCTTTTAAACAGAAAAGCACATAAAACATGGTTATGTATTGATCGATAAAAATATTGTGACCAGACACTTATAGGAACCTAACTCTGTATTTCCCCTTGGAATGACAGTTTAGTTTTGCTAATTCAGTGTTCTCTGTGGCTTTCTAGAACATAACTGCCACACGTAATGAGAATCAGCTATAATCAATGATCATAAATCTGATTCCAGGTTGGGCATGTTTTTCGTTCATTTAAGCCCTTTGATGACAAGACTCCATCCCAGCTGAATACTGGCCTTGGGATGGCCGAGATCAAATTTTCTGAATGTTATTCAGTAACAGAAAGGAGCTATGGCTTGTATCACTTTGAAATTTGTATAACGTGAAATCGAGGCAATGAGGGCAAGTAGTAGAC